CCGGTAACATTCCTTAACCGAACTCAAGTGTTTTTCTACACTTTATCTAGCGAAATCACTAATTTATATACATAAATGTATTTAATTGTTATTAGGATTCCGTTAAGTGCCACACGCTACAACTCGAGGGTCTTCATTCCAATTCGTTGATTCGACGTTTGCACACTACTAACAGTGAGTTCATACCCCTACGCTTTTACGATTTTTAATGTTTTCAGGGGGGAATACAAGCCAAACACAAATGATTTTAACAATTTTTTAAACTTATTAGTACAGTCAAACGATTTCCACATTTTATAAAATATTTAGATATTTTATCCCTTTTCTACTATGTTGAGCATAAGGGACACATTTATTTTGGAAACACAATTTCATAGTTTTCAGAACAGTTTACAAACCAAGTACATAACATTTCAAGTAAACTATAATGGGTATAGTTTGGGGAATTCAATACACAGCTTTTTACCAATTCAGATTACATACGTGGGTAAACATATAAACTATGACATATTTAGTTTATGATATAAATCAATACAAGAGTACAACATTTAATAATTATTTAAGTATAATTATTACTTTATACAGTATACAACGGATTCAAATACAAGAGAACACTACAGAATTACACGTAAACTAGATTATACAAAATTGTGAGACACTACTTCAAAACTGCACCCTTAGGTGTACTGAATTAAATCCTATCATAGTATAACCAGAGTCTCCTGGAGGGAGAGCGTAAGATTTGTGAATAGATCTATTCGGGACTGACAATCCCACACCTGAACTGCTAGCTACAGTTAGGCAGGCATGCCTGAGGTGACAAATGTCATGTAACCGACACTTGAAGAACGTCGTAAAGGTCACTAGGTCATATCAAGCATGGTTGTACGACTCACAATAGTATAAACTAATCATTTGTTTACAGGATTTCATTCTTCATTGGTTTTATTTTAAGTAATGAAACTACTTTTACATACTGATATTAGCCAGGGTTTTCATACAGAACACACTATACAAAGGTTTTTGTACAAGAATACACACATACTACGGTTGATAGCAACTAGACGTACAAATGAACATTTTTCTATACTACAACAGGATACAGTAACAAACATTCATAGTTAATTCTATAATTACTTAGTTTAGGCATCAGGGCCACGTATGGAGAATATTCGATAGACTGTGGAATGTGTGGTTTCCGCCTCATTTCCTGTTTGTTGTTTGGTTGTGGGCTTAGGGCAGATCCACATAGTCAATTGTCTGTTCGATATTGGTTTATACCTGGCTAGCATAAACTAAGTAGTCGTAGATAGAACTGATATTATCACTTTCACTAAAGAAAATATTGGATTTTCTTGGAACCATGCGAACATTTTTACAGAGTCATCAACAGGTTTTCATTACAAAAACATTGCTTATGAACTCACCAGCTTTATGCTGATACTCTTTCAAAACGGCTTGTATTCTCTAGAAATCAATAGACAGATACCTCCTGGAGTTTTGAGAAGACGGAGCGTATAGAGTCACGTCTTTCTATTTTGATTATACTTTTGATGTATAAAAACAAGAATCAAATAGATGTAAACCCTTTTCATATATGTATTCAATGTGATGGTTGTGTTTACTATGATTGTTATGATACAATTGTTGGATACTACACATGACGTCATCCACCCCCGGACGTTTCCGCCGTTCCGGTTTAGGGGTGTGACACCTGGACAGTTACTCAGACAATTTACAAATATTCCTCTAGCATAATGGGTAACGCGTCTCACATATATTAACCTAGAAGACTATATCTTATCAGTTTCTATGACAATCTGATAATGAAAGTTAAATCTATCACTAATCGTAACACCTAGTTTTAGTAACATATATGATTTACGAGATATAAATCTTATGAGAAGAGTAGATAAAATAGAGCATGGAGTTACTTAAGTTTGAAAAATGCAATTTAGCAAAAGATAATTGAGAAATGTTGTAGAGTTGGTTGAGAGGATTCTGTGGATATAAATATCATCGAAAACAGAGTTTGTATGAGAAATTTATGACCGTTTGAAGTCTAGATGAAAGTACGTTGCTATTTTAAGAAACGTCAACGGTCAACTTTTTAATCCCAATACGTGAAGGAATGCTTGCCACGACGTGTCAATAAGAATGCCACGACGTGACAGTGAGCTTGTCACGGCGTGAAGAGTGACGAGTCATCAGAACATTCGAGATTCATACGTGTCAAGACGAGAGTCTATTGATCCTCATGACTGAGGTATACATGGTCACGACGTGAGATGAGTCAAATCAGTGAGACATGTCATAAAAGAGTACAATACGTGTTGAGATCGGAGTGCATAAGATTGTCACGATGCGAGACTTATAAGGTCACGATGTGACGAGCGTCTGGCTATAAATACGAGAGATTTTGTGTCATTTGAGAGAGTTTGGCACACAGGATCGAAGATGCTGCTCAGGAGTCGTTTGTGAGAGATTGTTATGGTGAAGTTATACCATTGTACGAGTAATACGTGGGTCGACTTACGAGATACATCGAGGTATCTTTTACCCGTTAAATTGTATTTACGATATGTGATTATTATTTAGATTTGATTGACCCTAGTATATGACGTTGTTACAAACCCGTTAGTAAGACCAGTGAGTAAATCTTATGATTTTAGATTTAGTAGAGATTGTCGAGGTTATACACCCAAATATTTGAGAGTTACCCATTATGAGGGATTTAGCTAACAACTTACTGGTTAAGCCTATTATGGTTATATTATGAAATTTGATTATTATCATTATTATGATCAGTCATAGAATATACCTAGTAGTGAGTTGAGACAGATTCTAAGCAACATGTTATGTGATGACTAGGTGTTACCATCTGAAGAACTGATAGGCCGCGAATGATGGAAACCAAAACCGGAATTATTCTGTCGTCTAACCAGGTGAGTAACACTACTATAATCTCTATTGATGTGTTATCTATGATATACATTACATGAGTTATATGATTAATTGTTATTGAGTATTTGAATGATATTTGAGAGACTGGTTATTCTAAGATATTAATATTTGATTGAAAGATTGATTCTAATTGAGAGATGATTTATTAAATAAAAAGATAACTTATAAACAAGATAGGTCATTTATGAGTAATTATTTGTATTGGAATTGTGACATATATGATATATGAATTATATAGAGATTTGAATATTTGATTATTATTGAGAAACTGGTTTTACTAAGAAATAGATTTTATCGAGATAGATTAAGATTAATACAAATAGGATTAAGAGATCGATTATTTAGAGAGAGAGAGAGAGATAGAGAGAGAGAGAGATCATTTTTGAGAAATTGATTAATTGTGAGTAAGAGATAGTGAGATTGATAATGATAAAGAGAGAGGTCAATTCTGAGTAATCAACCGTTATAAAAGAAAGAGATTATTATTATTATTATTAGAGTTGATAAGAGAATACGTGAATACATTTAATAGTCGTAATTTAATTGTTACAAATTAGTAATGATTAGTTGATTATAATATATGTGATTATATAATAATATTTTGTAGTTGCTATTCACTAAGACGTGAGGCTTATGTTTATATAATGATTTATTTTGCATGTTTATAACTGTGACGCTCGGATCGATCCTGTATTTGAGGCAGTGCGATCCTTGTGATAACTATTTGTATTCCAGACTTCTAATGTAAACCAAATTATTGTAAATTTTTAAATGAGAAATGAAATTTGAGGTGTATATTTGGTATGAAAACTTGGGCGTTACACTAGTCCCAATGAATACCAAGAGTTCTATCAAATAAGCATCAACCAGGTCGGACAGTTAGAAGGCAGGATCATTTCGACATATAGGCTTTCTGAATCCAACAACTATGCCAACGTGGCTGTTCTAGACACCTCTCCCGTAAGTAACTCAATCAACATTATGACTAGAATTACTAATAAATATTATTTATACATTCATAACAACGACTATGAATATAAATAAAAGCTACACTTAAAGCATACTAAGTGTAGTCTGACTTGCAAAGTGTTCTTAGCGAAAACCGAGAATTATGCGTTGACAGAACTTTGACCCAAAAGCTTCTTTTTTTTTTATTTCTAGACACATCATAGCGTTACTAATATACCCAAATAAATATAGAAACTAGAGCTCCAAATTTCAGAGGAATTCATAGAGAATAAAGGGTTGAAAGTGAGGAAATGGTGCAAGTTCGAGAGGTATTTATAAAATGATTCGAGATGCGTGCCACGCCCATGATCGGGTGTGCACCGCTCACTTGGTCGAGGTGTTGTTGTGTCATCATTTGGGTGGTGGCACGTGGCAGAAATCTAGTGGCGTGTCAGTGCACGCCGCCCATTTGGTCTTCAAAAATTCACATCTTCTTCATATGAGCTCCATTTTCGACGTTCTTGATATCCATGCACTACTAGAAAAACAAACTTTTACAACGCACAATGCGTGTCATAAAATGCTTAGACGACGCGCATATGCGTGTCAAGGAACGCCCTATCATAACGAGAGGCGACACGCTTTTGAGCGTCGTCTATTTACGACGCGCATTTATGACACACATTTACAACGCGCAGTTATGACACACAATGCATATCAAGGAATGCCCTGTCATAAAGGAAGATGACACGCATTTGCGTGTCATAACCTTACGACGCGCGTGTTTATGACACGCAATGCGTATCAAGGAAGCCCTGTTATAAAGGAAGACGACACACATTTTTGTCTGTCATAATTTTAAATGTTTTTAAAATTATATATTTTTGATAGATTTACTAATTTTCAAATTAAATAACACATTAAAAGTCTCATAATACAAAATAAAATACCATAAACAATAAAGATAATTCATTGCATTAATATGTCAAATACAAATAAGCATTCCAATAGTAAGTAAATGTAACACATTGCTAATATTGCATAATATTTATTATAGAAAATAAAACATGTACAACATTTAAGGAAACCCATGTCTAATTTCTCCTTTGACAATCTCCTTTGACAATTTCCTTTCTAAGAGAATAACCTGAATGCAGGAACTTTGAGAGGCAGCAGGGCATGGAAGGAGGTTTCTAGACATGTCAGAACCTGCACAGGGCAAATCGGTAACTTAGCATGCAATACAATACAAGATGATATGATAGAAAAAAGAGAAAACTGAATACCCACCTGAAAGTTTGCACCTTCAAAACCGGATCAAGGGTACTAAGTTCAAGCAGCCAATCAATGAATAACTTGAAATACGGTTTGGGGTTGAATGATGTTTTCTTCTTCTCTGCATCCTTTTGAATGAATCTCACAGTCACTGCTAACACCTGTTGCAAAAAATGTCAAATAATCTGCTAACACATGTTGCAAAAAGTGTCAAATAATCTATTGTCCAACATATACAACTAATCACAAGTCTTGATTGTAATTCACGATTCTAACCTTTGACAGAAGAGACAGCTTGCTTACTCCATGGTCAACAGAGGAGAACTAGCCATACAAAGAAGAAGCAATTATGTTGATGAAAAGCATATATATATATATATATATATATATATATATATATATATATATATATATATATATGTATATATATATAGCTTCAATTTGCTTATTATAGCATCTCACTTCTAAATCAATCAATTACAGCATTGTACTTATAATTGAGTGAATTTTCATATTATAATAAGAAGAAATGAAAGTGTAATGCTATAATGAACAATAAAAAGGGAAGTGTGTTACTATTTGGCATTACCTGATCGGGTTAAGAAGATTCCAAAGCACTCAATTCATCCCTGCCAGCTACCAGATGACTAGAAAACGGAAGGGCATATTTGGAAATTTTAATTGAACCTTTTCCCCCTCAATTGGATCATAGAATCTTTCTAGCAGATTGACTAACGTTGAAAGCATAGCAAACCACCTAAAATAAATTTGCTTCCTTTCTTCTAGCTATTGAACGCACCCTCTCTACTTCCTGTTCTTCTCTCTCTTTCCTCTTATGAAATGGCCGTTCTTTTTCCCTTAATTTCTCCTGTATGTTAATAATATATATATGAACATGTTTTTAAAATAAGAAAAATAATAATAAATAATAAAACGGTACCTCCTCATCTCGTTTTGCCTTCGCTATGCTTTCAGCTTCATCTTCACAAACTTTTAACTCATAAATATATTCATTAAATATAGCAAAACCCTTGGAAGTTTCTAGAATTTTGATTAAAATATTGAGACTTACCCATGCTGAAATAATTCCAGAATCCTCCACGAAATGTGTCGTAACCTGACTGAGGACATTCACCAAGTATACATTAACAAAATACATTATGAAGATTATTCGATTTATGTTTTTGTGTTATAATAAAAATTAAATTGATAAATAAAGAAAAATGTATAATGGGATACTTTACCACATTATGTTCATCTGTATCAGATACACAATTAAATGCATGTAAAGAATGTGGCAACTCCAAGGGGGTAATGGGATCACAAGACCCTTCTTTTGGGGCAGATTTCATCCTCATAAGAATATGCCAGTTGTCCATTATGTAGTAAAAGTGAAAAAGTGAAATCAATTATAATAAGATTTTCTGATGTATAATTAGACATAAATAAAAACAAAAAGCGCTAGTTAGAAATTATGAGGATATTACAGAAATTAAACTCCGACATGGGAATGAGGGAGAAAACGAACTCCCATATGGGTTTCATTTTGAAAAACAGGTTTGTTGGAATGTTGGAGAAATCAAACCAGGTTTGGTGTTCCGATCATGTCCTCTACTTATGGCCTTTTGCGGTGATACTGAAAATGCACACCACATTTTACTCTCTTGCCCTTTCACAGTTAAAGTTGGTGAAGCAATTGGTGTGGCGTTTCCTTTTCTTCCTACTCGTGTACTGGGGACTTCTTGGATATCAAAAGCTTTTTATACTCCTAACCTTAATACAAAGATATGTAGTTCATCAATTACTAATACACTATTTTCGGTACACTTTCTTTAATTGCTTTTCCACCAAAAAATTCACGTCCAACAGAACTAGATGGAACTATGCCTATTCCAAGTTCCCTTTGCAACAAACAAATTCAGGGAGACATACAAAAACCCTAATGGGAAGTAAATCAACAGACTGAATAAAAAATAAAAATACACCTGCACAATGGAATCAGTTCTTCCTCAATATCACGGGTCCAAAGGGAATATTCCATTTGTAAAGCAGTGACTGGATGAATGGCATGTGCTCTCCTAATTGTGTCTGCATTAGCTTCAGATAGACCGATGTACTTTATCTTACCTTCTTCCACCATCTTTTTAAGTTCTTCCATCTGTATTTTCAAAACAATATGTAATGACTCGAGACATCAAGAAATCAAGGTCCAAAGAAAATACACAAGTGTAAACTTCCAGTGTCCTCAATAGGAACAGTTGTGTGAATTCTATGTATGTAATAGAGATCAATGTAGTCCACACCCAACCTCTTTAAGCTACCCTCACAACACGAACATGCATATTCAGGGGTACCTTTGACTGTAATACCAGTGGATTCAATCTTGAAAATATCGAATTTTGTGGCTAATTGGATCTTTTCATGAGGTAATTCCTTTAAATCCTGCAGCATTCCAGTTTAATCAACTAGGATAAATGGTTGGTAATTTTATTACATAGGTAAGAATTTCATGAAGATTACTTATATAGCTTTGTTGTTAAGTATAAGGAAATCCAATTACCTTCCCAACTAGTATCTCATTAGCATGCTAAACTCCATATACATCAGCGGTATCAAAAAATGTAATTCCTCTATTAAAAACTTCCTTGAGCACTTTGATGCTTTCTTCCTCAGGGAGAGGATTTTTATAGATACATGTAAGCCCCATGCAGCCATACCCTAATCTTGAGACCTATAGAAAAGGAAAATGAGGTTGAATGTCTAACATATCCATATCTAATTTGCAATTTATAACAATTTTTTCTATCTGCCTATACATTTTTGAGCAAGTTTAAAGGAGTGAAGTCCTTGTGTAACTGGCATCTTTCGGTCGCAGAGCTATTGATAATCGTTGTTTGTTCAATTGGAAGGTTAAGTTCGGGAACAGAATCGAATCGTTTATGTTTCTGTCGCCACATTTAAGCGAAATTTTGAAATTTCGTTACAGTGTCTGGAGGATGTGATTGTGTGGCATATGATGTCGATGGACATCGTTAATGATCTCCCAATGTTGGAAGAGGAATCCATTACTGATTCAGAAGAAGAGGGAAGCTTTCTATGAGTGGGGAAAAGCTCATTGTGGTGAAGGAATAGGTAAAGTCAGCCAAGAAGTAAGCCTGAAGTGAGATCGTCGATTGTTGCAGAGGCCTGGGAGAACCGATCGAGAATTGGAGAGCATTTTGAATTTTCTTGAAAAAGCCCTAGGTAAAATGGTTTTTGAAAAATCCCTATGAATGAGTGAATGAAGGGAGATACAGAGGAAAGATTGAAGAAGCGGGCACTTCAAAATTTTAGAATTTCAGAGGATTTCATTTTTGCCCTTTAAAAACGCGCGTTTGATAAAAAAATATAAAGCGACATTTCTAGAGGACACACATTTAAAACAAGTGCCCTCCGTGTTTGTATTTTTTTGTTGGACATTAATTTTAAGGCACGCAAAAATGCGTGTCCTCTATCCTTTAAATTTTGGAAGGCTGGCATTATTTTTAAGGACACACAAAAATGCGTATCGTAAATCAGCGAGTGTCATTGTTTGCGCGTCATTAAAGGGTATTTTTCTTATAGTGATGCATAGCTATCGATGAGATCTACAACTTTCATTTAGACTCTCTCGACTAATTTTCACCGTATTTTTAAAGTTATACTTTTAACATGCTTAAACTGTTACAGCCCGTATAAAAATCATAACTCTCTCATATGAATTCTATTCTCAACTATCTTTATATCGACAAAATCATATGGATGAGATCTTCAACTCTCGTTTAGATTATTATTCCTAACAATTGACCTATCCTAATTTAAGTTTTTGTGTCGTGCACTGCTACCCTGCAACTCCTAAAAATCATAACTTCCCCTTATGAAGTCAGATCTGGATGTTCTCTATACGCACACTCTCAGTTTTCCGATTACTACGACTTTCGTCCAGACTATTTATCCTAAATAGTCTTCTATCAAAGACGTTTAATTATATGACTGGTCGTTTATACAATAAGGTGAAAATATGATGTTACAACTCTCCCCCACTTATAGAGATTTCATCCCCAAAATCCTACCCCTAAAGAACTTTAGGATAATGTCTACACTATCCTGCTAGGGTTTCATGGGATCAACCTAATATTTAGCCGACGTTGCTGCATCGAATTCGTCCTTCCATACTTAATCGATCTTAGAACTTCATTTTCTACCTTACACGTTCTCTCAAAATCCTCGCGAAGTCATCCAAAACCGGGAATTCGTTGATTTGGACTTCCAAAAATCACACGCTATGATTGACGATCACTTTCAGACGTGAAATGTTGATACCATCGGCTGGTTATGAGGCGGTTAACCATGGAATTTTACCTACGACACCCTAACGAAATCCATTTTCAGTAATATGCCTCTAAAGGCTTACATCATATCTTAAAATGTAATACCTGTAAATTCAGGCTAGGGAATAAAGTTATCATAAGCCATAATAATGACTTTTAAATATGAGAATGTTTATTATAAATAATCTTAACCGAGTTATAGTATATGTCGTAAATAGTGAGTTGGAGATAGGATACATATTAGCCCTAGTAATCTAAACGAAAGTCGTAGTATTAGGAAAAAACGAATTTGTACATACAGGGAACATCCGAATCTGACTTCAATAGAGGAAGTCATGATTTTTCTAAGATTTCAGCGTAGCAGTGTGCACACAGAAATCGAGTTTTAGATCGGTTGATTTTTGGCCAAAACAATCTAAAGTGAATTGAATGTATCATTAATAGTATTCCAAAAATATAAAAACCATTGAAAATGGACGCCGGATGTGACAGATGTGCATTTTATACGGGCTTTAATAGGCTAAGCCTGTGTAAATAAAATGAATTCAAAACTTGTCGACGGAGTCTAAAGTAAGTTGTAGATCTCGTCGAGAGATTTTCGTAGATATAAAGAACGTAAAGAATGGAGCTCTTATGAAGCAGATACGTAATTTTTAAATTCTGAAAATCGGCATGTGCCGCGCGACGCGCATAGCTTGCGATCGAAGTCAGCCACGCTGATCCAGCCAACGAGTGACATGTGTCAGCTAACTGATGGATCGATGTGTTTGAAGTGTGCAACACGCACCCCTTAGTCGTGGCACTTATATATGTTTTTGGCCCTATAAATAGCCAACAGTCCCTCATTCATTCCACACACTCTTACAGCCACTCTCTCAATTATCCCTCCTGTAAACCTATTTTTCTTTCGTTTCTAGCCTGAGGCGAAGCCCTGCGACACCTCGGAGTACGCATTCGAGTAGTAGCCTTAGAGTAGGAGACCCTGAGTCAGATTTCTGCCCACTTGGACCCTGGTTCTCATCCATAATCTGTAAGTGATCTACACTTACTCTGCCCTCACGTAATTTATAATTATAGTCATATTCGTTGTTATGAACCTATAATTAAGATTTATCAGTGATTCCAAGTCATATACTGATTGATCTACTTATAGGAGAGGTGTCTACAATGGTCACATTGACTTGGTTGTTAGATTTCAGAAAGACTATATGTCGAAATGGTCCTACCTCCCGACTATTATGCCTGGTTGATCCTTATTTGATAGAACTATAAGTATTCATTAGAATTATTGATAGGTCTAGATTCTCTCTAGTCATGTAGAATATTAGACTAAGACTAAGTGATAATGATATTAGGACACGTTAAAGGAAGGGTCAGTTACTGGAAGCGAAGCTCTGCCCGAATTTCGAGTCATACTTTAACAAGTGAGTGCATAGTTACTTTCATGCTTACACATAGATATAAGTATTCTAAATGTTTAATTACTATGTGAGCTGTCTTTGTTGTATTTAATCTAGTTGTAAAAGTATGATTACTACTTGATTTATTGGTACGTTTAACATACTTAATAATATGACTGGGTAGTGAGGGGCTGTGCAAAATAATAAATGAGAGGTTGTGATAAGGTTGTGTGAAATAGTGGTTGTGATAGGTTGGAGAGAGATTCGGGTGAGATAATAAGCTGTGTCTATCGTGTATGTCTCAAGTACTTTGTACTTTCGTGGTAAACCCAAGTATATTTGTATTGACGTGTTAAACCCAAGTACTCTTGTACTGCCGTGCTAAACCCAAGTACTTTTGTACTTCCGTGCTAAACCTAAGTACTCTTGTACCGTCGTGCTAAAACCAAGTACTTTTGTATTGTCATGCTAAACCCAAGTACTTTGTACTGCCATGCCTTTCGTGATTATACTAAAAGTACTAATGTATTGTTGTGTTGTCGCGAGTATTATCATGCCGTCGTGCCTAATCACCTAGGAGTTATAGTTGTCCGCTGATAAAGATCCTTTAGAAAAGATCCATCAAGATCATCATAATAGTATTAGTAAGTGAGAGTGATGGGAAATGGGGTAATTGGGTTATTTGAATGCTGATGGTTATATAATTAAAAATCATAATATTGTGGATTGAAACCCCTATGTATCTCACCAGGTTTCCCAACTTGACCCACTCAGTTGATTGTATCATAGGTAATTATATATATATGATAATATATGTATTCGATAAGAGACTCAAGGAGATTTCGACCATTAGTATAAAGAGATGTAGTCTTCGTTTATGCTTATGTTTTTTGTATCGACGATGGCATCCCGAGTTTTTAATAAATCAATGAAAAGCATTCCCTTAGGAATATTTTATGGGACAAATTCCGCATTTTTAAATTAAAACTCTGATTTTAAAATAAGCATAAACTGGTGTTTTCTAGCCGTGAAAATGCAGATGTCACATAAAACACACACGAATCTAGATTAGAAACAATATTCCAACCTAGTTTAGGTGTTCCAACACGCTCAATTTTAACTAAAACTACCATAACTGGTTTACTGGCTTGAAAGCACTGGAACCAATACTCTAATATTGGTGACAGACTCATTATAAGACTTACTTATATTTTATCTTACTAGATTATAATGAACACTAGGTCACTAATAACCTTCTCCTAAGGCTCTAACTACTTTTCCTATATCAAGGTATAACTATTGTCTAAACAATTTGTTCTTATTCTTGCTCACGATACGTCATAATACTAGCTGACTATTGGGGTTTTGATGCTCACGATACATCATAACGG